GTTGTTGGATGTTGGGGGGGCACATGTCCTAAAAGGTTGAAAACCCCTGGTCTAGAGCATGTGAACCCTAACCCTAATCATCATCACCTCCATCATTGTGGTTGTGTGTTAGCAGCTGTGTCAAGTTCCTTTTTGGTCTTCAGTGTACTTACTTTTGTCTTTGCAGTTTGCTGGGATTTTAGTTCTACTTCTGTGTTTAAAGCTTTAAAGGCTTTGCCTGAGAGATCATTTTTGCTGCTTATTGGCAGAATGACAATTAGTGCTTTTTGTCGTTTTGCTAATTTGCTAAAACCCTCATGCCCTCCCTTTACCTGGGCCTAACTCCCTCAGCATTCGCTGCCATCGAGATTTTCCCTTTTACAGCAAGGACACCAGCCCCCCTTGTTATTTTGGACACTTTTATCCCTTTGGACACTTTATTTCTCCTAAAAACGTCATGAATGAGGTCTTCCATAATTACCTTCACTGCTTTGTCATGATTTACATCAAAGACATCTTGATCACCTTCTCATTACTGGCCACACACCTCCACATGTCAAAATCATCCTCCAGCAACTCAGTTAACAGCAGCTCTTTCTCAAGCCCGATAAATAGAGTGTGAGCAGTAGTTCTGGGAGGAAGACTCATATTCTGTTCATTATTCATTCATAAAATGAAAAACCACTGTGTGGCTTCGGCTTTAAAAGTCCAAGACAGCCTACCATTCATCATAACATGCATTATTGTCTCCCTGATAGAGATGCTTGTTCTACTAGCCTGATCCAATGGCATGCAAATGGACTTGGTGAAGACTGAAGCAGTCCATTTCTGGCCAGAAAACCAGTCCTCAATAAAGGAGCATCAACATTTCCTGGGTTTCTGCAACTTTTATTGCCGTTTATTAGAAAGTTCATTTCCATTGTCACCTCTATCTTCTCCATGCTAAACCCAAAACAATCCCCTGGTCACCTGTCACCCACAGTGTGCTATTGTACACAATTTATATATTTTACAAAATCTGGAAAGCCTTCTTCAACCTCCTATGTGTGTCTGTAAGCCTCTTATCTGAGGATGCACAAAATTATTTTCATCACCCAACCTATCCAGTGTGTACTGAGATTTCAGTACTGTGCGGATTAATCACGTGACTAATAAAATGTATAACGTGGTTCACTGGTAATGTGGATTTCATGGAGTGAGAAAGATGAAGAATAACATTTCAGTAGTTGTCGCCATGCTGTGCTATTGAATGCTGAACTGTTGCGCCAAGAGAGTCCTTAGATTATGGACTGTGCAACTGGGTCAGATCAGTCATCACAGGGTCTTTTGCAGACTGGCTGCGTTAATGTGGAGCTGTGTGGGTCAGGCAATATCTGCAGAGGCAGGGGTCTTTTGCAGACTAGGCTGCACTGTTTAAGAAGTTGTAAGAATACTTTGTAACTAGAGTGCAACATGCAAGATTTTCTCGTCAGGT